TAATTGTATAGCCAATAACATTCAGGAGAGAAATGTCACACTGGAAGATATATCAGTGAAAAAAAAATGCTACTTCTACCCACACAGAAAGAGGGGGAGATGTGGGAAATGGAAAGGAGTCTATGAGGCTCATGAGACATAGCAAAGGGTCTAACACATATATCTTGAAGTCCCAGAAGGAGTGGAGAGAGAGAAAATGGAGAAGAAATAATATTTGAAGATACAGTCATCAAGAATTTGCCAAAACTGACAAAAGAAAAAATCTTGGAAGCAGCTGAGATGACAGATGACAGAAAGGTGATGCTAGATAGACAGACAGGTCTTTCAAATGAGCATCAACACTAGCTCAGTAGTATAGGTTGACCACATAAAAGAAAAGTTATGGACCAGAAAAAAATTGAAATGACATATTCAAGGTATTAAACAAAATAACGACCAACCTAGACTTCTATACTCAGTAAAAATATCCTTCAAGAATAAAGGTGAAATGGAAAGATATTAAAAAGGAAAAAGAATTTACCATGTTCAGCCCTGCATTAAAAGGGAGGTCTTCAGGCAGAAATAAAATGGGAGCTCAGAAAATCTGGAATAAGAAACTGAAAGGATAAACATGTGTAAACCTAAATGAATATTGAGTATATGAATAAAAATAATAATGTCTCATGGAATATAAAATATATGTAGAATTCAAATAGATGACCATAGCTTAATAAGGTGGGAGAAGGTAAATGGAGTTGAGCTCTCATCAATAATGACAGAAAACATAGTGAAATAACATATAGCTAATAAAATAATAAAAGGAAAATGAAATAAAAATTATGACAAGTGAAAGCAAAAAAAAAACCTTTAAAAGTGAGTTAAATAGTGAGATAGTACATATACATAAAAATATATTAGTAATCTTTCCACTCACTCTTTAACCCACTGTATCATTTATTTCCATAGCATTACAGAAATGGTTCTTTCAAAGTTCACAAATGGTTTTGGGTCCTAAGCTGACACTATCCTTCCTCAGTTTGAAAAACTGTCTTCCATTTCTTCTATCCCTCTGACAGTGCCTTCCTGTTCCTTTTCATAGCTTGTCATCCTTTATCCTCTATTTGAATAAGTGCTTCCAGGAATCAGTCCTCTGCATTCCTCTTGCTTCTATCCTCATTCCATTTCTGAGCAATTTTTATGAATCTAAGGGTTCACCAAGGAGATATTCTGGTGTTCAGGGAAAAGTGAAGACAAAGGGTGAATATGTCATATCTTTCTAGAACACTAAGAGTTGACTAGACACTATGAAGACTTGGAGATGAATTGATTGTTTTCTTTTTCTTTTCTTTCTTCTTCTTTTTTTTTTTTTGTGGGGGACAGTGAGGAGTAGAGGGAGTAAGAGAATCCTAAGCAGGCTCCATGCCCAGCATGGAGCCCAACACAAGGCTTGATCTCATGATGATGAGATCATGACGGGAGCGGAAATCAAGAGTCAGATGCTTAATTAACTGAGCCACCATGGTTGGCCCAATTGTTTTCTATTATAACAGAAATGGATACATGGTGAAACAAAAGGCAAAATTTGCATAAATTTTTAAAATAAAACATCAGGGCACCTAGGTGGCTCAGTCAGTTAAGCATCCAACTTCGGCTTAGGTCATGATTTCGCAGTTTGGGAGTTTCAGCCCCACACCAGGCTCTGTGTTGACAGCTCAGAGCCTGGAGACTGCTTCAGATTCTGTCGCCCTCTCTCTCTGTCCCTCTACCACTCCCACTCTGTCTCTCTCTCTCAACAATAAATGAACATTAAAAAATTAAGAAAATAAAAAATAAAATATCAGGTGTGAAGAAACATCAGAGTCACTGCATATGATTTTAAGTCATGCCCCCAAAATCCCTGGGCTTATTTTTTCACTATCATCCACTATCACTAGTACATTCATGGAAAAACAAATGTGCACATTTGTTTTGTATGAGCTTGCTTTATGACTGATATATCAATAAATCTCATCAACTTTCTGAGTCCTAATCTTAAATCCCCAAATATTTCCTAATGCTAATTTGATGGGCATTATTGCACAGAACAGTAGAGAACTGTCCAGTGGCACGAGCAGGACATTATTAATATAGGAGTAACTATCTCTATCCTTGTCCAGAAACCTTCCCTATAGGGTGGGAAGATCAGGTCAGGAATGCATGGTTTTCATTTATGAACCAACATTGGTAAAACATTACCATAAAATGGTACCATAAGACTGAGAAGCATAGTTTTAGATGAGTAGACTGTTGTTCAAGATAAAACACCCCCATGCCTCCTTTACTATCAAGTGGGTCTGCTGGTCTGATGCACTATTATATGGGAATCCCATGCTGGTTGGTCATGCTATAAGCCTCTAGGTAGTGGTGATTGCTTAAATCTCACAGGCAGTAAAAGCAAATCCAAATCCAAAATATTGTTTCTGTTCCTATAAGAAAGAAGCATTGGCCCATACAGAATGGAAAGAGCCCATAGTCAACTTGTAGCCAAGTGGCCAACTGGTCTTAAGGTTTGGTGTTGTATCAGGTGTTCGTTGTTCATTTCTGTTGTTGGCTGGTTAGACCATCTAATGTCATGCCATGTTAGCATCTAATCAGATTTGGTCAGTGAGAGTCCATACTATAGAGCCCATGTGTAATCTCCACCACCTTGGCCACATCATTCATCTGCCTGTCATGTTAATCCTGGAATGCTTGATGACAAAGGCTGGCTAAATAAGAACTAGACCAGTCATTTTGTCCACTTGGCTATTTAGTGCCTTTCCCATAATAGACACTCTCAGGCAGCTGTTCACCTGTGACACAGAGGTACACTGTGCTAATCCCAAATGTTCATCCGTACACCTCTAACTGAAATTTCTATCCCTGGTCCTCCAATCTTTTTCTTTCCATACCATTGGCTATCCTGCCAAGCCATTTGGTATTGACCATATCTTCATATGTATTCAAACCTTGGTCAATTATCTTTTTTCACACACCCTCACTCTGCCCATTAGGAGCATTTTTACTGGCTATTGCCATTGAAGGCCATGAAGGCAACAATATCTCAACAAATCCTCAGTCAAACTGGTGGGGAATTCAGGAGTAAGTCTCGCATGCCAGTGAGTCCCACAATGGCCCAGAATGATTACATCTTTATGTGCCTGTCCCATGTAGTCAGGAGAAGTAGACTGCCCAAGGAAGGGTCAGATCTCTGACTGGGGGAGGGGGGGTTCTCTGAAGAGGGGTTCTTCAGAACCCCGAAAAGGCTGGCAGCTGGAGGCTGTCTGTTGATCCCAGGTATCCCTGCTGGGCAGCAAGTCTTCCTCGAAGGGGGATCTGCACAGTGTATCTCTATGTCTCCCACATGCCTTCCCTAACACAGGCCTGGAATAGAGTATATCTTGAATGTAGATATATTTTTTTTGAAGGAAACAGAAAAATCTGACCACAGTGACTATGTTTTCTTAATATAACGAGGTATCTACAGCTAACTGGTTACTTGTGTTGGTTCAAGAGATCCCTAGCTTCCAAGAATGCTGAGAGTGACAATACGATTATCATGATTGACTTACGCCAATAAAAATTTATTGCTTGGGTGTGAACATAATTCTGCCTCAAAAAAAAATTTCCACGTCCAAGGGAAAAGAAAAGTAGTTGAACATGAGGCAGAATACTAACAATATCTGTCACAGTGAATAAATATTTATTGAATGGAAAATGGTTTTGTGCCACACACAAAACTCCTGCAGTGGGAAGAAGTTTGACTAAATAATTTCTGAGGTCATTTCAGCAACACTCTGTGCACTAAAGGGAACCTTAAAGACCATCCATAATTAATAAAAAGAAATATTTTAACTATGGCGAACCATCAAGAGAGCCAGCAAAAGACAGGAAATTTCTTTAGCATCGGAGCCAGGCTCCTTCGGTAGCCCCAGTGGAAATTTGAGGCAGCCATTGACTTTCAGAACAGACAGAGCTCCAGAGGCCCTGGCAGGCCACGCAGGAATAATAACGTCTTTGTCCTGATATGGAATCAGGGAAATAATGATCAGCTGTAGGGTCCATGAAAAGCCTCACTCTCACCACCTTTAACGACTCGCCTCCGCCTTCCTCCGCGCCCTCGACGGATTCCCCTGCTCAGAATCTGACGTCAATTGTTTCCTTACCAAGGCGAGCTGCCTAAGATTTCTGGGAAGTATGTTTAAACAGGAGCCATGCCAGGACTGGGATCAGCAGTGCTTCTGTGTAGCCTGCAGTGTAAGCTGTAATTAGGGATACTGAGATCCCTGAAGTTGGAGGCCAACTAAGTGGTGTGTGTGGCGTCTCTGTGTGAGTTGTGTGTGTGTGCGCGCGCGTGTGCGTGGTGAGGAGGAGGATGTATACATACACACAGGCACATATATATGTTTTCTTCTATTAGCTTCTTAACTTAGAATATGAAAACAAGTTAGTTTTATGAAGTGTAATATCCCTCCCAAATCTGTTTTCTTTGTCCTCTTTTCTTACTTCCTTCACTCCATCTCCCTTCCTTCCTTCCTTCCCTTTCTT